CAAGCAATGGACCTACCCATCATATTTATTAGTTTTTGCAAGTCATTATCAACCAGTCCGCAATCGTGGAGTGCCCATAACGGCTCCAACACAAGTTGCACGAATAATGTCTTTTTGCCACGGGAAGCAGCATCGTTCTGAAAAATAAACTATGAGAAAAATGATGAGATTTTCGCTCCATTCTCACCTTAATTTTTCCGCCAGATAAACAAAAATCCCCAAATAAAGCGTTCGTCAGTTCTGGCTTAGCTATTTTCAGCTTTTCAGCGTACATATCAGCGAAATCATCCACTCCGAACGCATAACAGTGAGTTGCCGAGGAGAAGATAACATTTCCTAAATGAAAAAGGACCACACTTCCACAGAACTCTCACAGCTTTCTAATGAATACCTTTAATCGGATCGAAAGAAAGAACAGCTTCAAGTTCCTCAATAGCTTCTGTGGAATCATTCTCGAGCATGAAACCTTGGATCACCTAGAAATTCTGGTATCGTCAACTCTAGACTTTTCATAGTATTGTAATGCCTCTTCCAAAGAGGTTCAGGTTAAGAAGTGAGGAGCAAATAGTGTCGGGAGTCACGCGAACTCAGGAGAAAAGAAGCGGCCATGAAAGTAATAATCAACCAGGTAAGATTGAATTGACGTTGAGAGGTACGAGATCAGGCTAGCATTAAAGGAGGGCGCCTTGCATTGGCCATACGGAACAACATGGATTCACAGATTATGGCAAGAAACAAGAATTCATAGAGATGTGGTGATGCAGCAGTTGATGATAGCTGGTGATTAGTTGACCGTTTCTTAGTGATATCATGATGAAGAGAAAACGCAATTTCTCAATGAGTCCCAAACTAGATGCGTAAAGATTGCCATCTCATCACCTGTACCACCTGTCGCACCGTTGATCATCGACTTCCACGAGCGGACGCCACTAAGGTCTCCATTCGTCAATGTCGCGAGCCAGAGAATTCAGTGAATCCATTTCATCCGTTAAGAGCTTTCATGAAGATATCTGACCATTGACGCGTGCCTGCCCCTTCAACACATGAGGATAGGTCGTAAGCTTCACAACATCTTCACGACCAAGACCACTAGGATTTCGTTCTACAGGAAATCGAGTTGAATGTAAAGGTAGTGGTCCGGCAGGGTTCAATACCATTGGTTGGCACCTGATTCTTAATTCACTCTCAACGCTACCTAGATCTTTGAATGCTCTAGTTGAGTTGAGAAGTCAAAATAACGAGCGATCCAACTTCGTAGCTGAGCAGGCGGGAACGCGCGGCGGGAAACATTTGATCACATCGAGGGGGTAGTGAAGAAGGCAAAGAATGTCTAGCTTAGCGCTCACATTTTAACACTGCGGTTCTTCGTACTTTGCGCAAGCAAGATGAACAGCAGTCATGGTCAGAGTTTCACAACTAATCAAACAAGTGCAAAGGAGAATCTGTAGTTGAAAGTTTCGTCGAAGAACGAAAACGTCGTTGCCTACGCCAAGAAATCGAAGTTCAGGTTGGCCGGACCAGCGCTGTTACTAACCGGATTGTGATCGGGACGAATGCATACCTTACTCGGACTATTCGAGCAATTCGATCATCAAATGAGCGACTATTGTGATGAAGGTGATATTTATGGTCATTGCGCATGTTGACGCACTAAGATTGAGTTGTGTTTTTTTTGAGTTTTAACACAGGTAGACAGTGCTAAACGCTCAAAAGTGACGAGAGAGTCAGGGAACAAGAAGGTGCGCAGTTGGTCACCCTCCAACGACAGAAATAAGCTAGCTTGTCTTTGTCTCAACCTTGT